GTATATATATTTTTCCGTTTCTTATCTTTATTCTATATTTTTTTTTTTCTTCTTTTTTTTGCGATATACATTTTCTCTACTTTTTTTTTCTCTTTCTTCATTGTCTTCTCTCTCTTTCCTTCCTCTCATTCTTTTATCTGTTTTTTGTCTACATCTTCCGTTATATACCTTTTCCTTTTGTTTCATTTCTCTTCATCCTTGTCTCCCTCTATCGCCTTTTTTAGCGCCTCCTTCCTCCTTACTCTCTCCGTTTCCTATTTTTCTCACTTTTCCTCTCCCTTTTCGTTTTGACATTTCCTTATCGTCTTCCTCTTTCCTCTTTCACATTTTCCCTCCTCTTGCTCTACCTCTCTCTGTTTCTGTTCCTCTTATCCCTTTTTCTCCTCCCCTTTCCTTACCTCTTTCTTGCTCCCCTTTTTCCTATTCCTGTTCCTCTTCTTCTCCCCTTTCCTCTTTCCTTTATCTCCCTCTCTTTTGTCCTGTTCCTCTCCCTCTTCTTCTCCCATTTCCTCTTTCCTTTATCTTCCTCCCTTTTCCTATTCCTCTCCCTCTTCTTCTCCCCTTTCCTCTTTCCTTATCTCCTCCTTTTCCTATTCCTCACCCTCTTCTTCTCCCCTTTCCTCTTTCTTTCTCCCTTTTATCCTATTCCTCCCCATCTTCTCCACTTTCCTCTTCCTCTTTTTGTCCTATTCCTTCCCATCTTTTTTTCCACTTTCCTCTTCCTCTTTTTGTCTCTCCTCTCATTTACTCTCTTTGTCACGTACCCCGCCCATTCTGGCACAGCCACAAGCAGCATTCCGTCCAGTTAGGCAACGCGAATTATAGCGAGCGAAGCGAGAAAATAAACTGCGGTAGACATTTTTGGAGGGAGGGAGGAGGGAGGGAGAGAGAGAGGGAGGAGGGAGAGGGAGGAGGGAGGGAGAGGAGGGAGGGAGAAGGGAGAGGAGAGAGAGGGAGGGAGGGAGAGGGAGGGAGGGAGGGAGGGAGGGAGGGAGGGAGGGAGGGAGGAAGGGAGGGAGAGAGAGAGGGAGGGAAAGGGAGGGAGGGAGGGAGGAGGGAGGGAGGGGGGGAGAGGGAGGGAGAGGGGAGGAGGGAGAGGGAGGGAGGGAGGGAGGGAGAGGGAGGGAGGGAGGGAGGGGAGGGAGGAGAGGGAGGGAGGGACGAGGGAGAGGGAGGGAGGGGAGGGGGAGGGAAGGGAGAGGAGAGGAGAGAGGAGGAGGGAGGAGGAGAGAGGGAGAGGGAGGAGGAGAGGGAGGAGAGAGGGAGAGGAGAGGGAGGGAGAGAGGGGAGAGGAGAGAGAGAGAGGGAGAGGAGGGGGAGGGAGGAGGGAGAGAGAGAGAGGGGAGGGAGAGAGAGAGAGGAGAGAGAGAGAGAGAGAGGAGGGAGAGGAGAGACAGAGAGAGAGAGAGAGAGAGAGAGAGAGAGAGAGAGAGAGAGGTAAAAAAGAAGGGAAAAAAAAGTACTTCTCCCCTCCTCTCTCACTCTCTTTCAACCCTCTCCTCCTACCTCTCGCCCTCTATTTCCCCTCTCTTTACCTTTCTCTTTCTCGCTCTTCCACTCCCTCTCACTCCCAAATGTTCGTTAGATGTATTCTTCCCCTCCCACTTTAACTCCTCCTTTATCTGTCCCATCCTACTTTCCTCCTCTTCTCATGAGCCTCTCCACGTCCTTCGCTCCCTTATCCCTTCCCCTCCCTCCCCCATCCCCCTTTTCTCTCCTCTGCCATCCTATTCCCTTTCCCATCATTCCACTTTTCTCTTTAAGTCTCCTCCTTTCCTTTCTGTTTCCCCTTTCCAGTGTTCATTTTCTCTTTAAAAGCACTCTTCTCCCTTTCTCATTCCCCCCCTTCTTCTCCTACCTTCCTTCTTACCCTTTCCCCTCGGACGGTCGTGTAGATAATAAATGTGCTTAAAGCGACAGTGCACTTGCCTCGAAGAATGACAATGATTATAACAACAACGATAATCACAACAAATTTGTTACATGTTGCCTTTATACGCGTGTCATTTTTCAATATTCAAATTGTCAATTATCATCCAGTCGCGTGTAACATATTTCAGTCGCAAGGATCTTATATAACATGCGAACAGACGGAACACAAACATAATTATGAAATAAATGATAATATCACCACTAATCGCACTGTGATCAATAATAATGATGATGCTGAGAATAAAGATGATCAAAATAACAATTATAATCACAACGATAACGACCACAATAACACAGACGATTATAATGACAGTGGCATAATAAGATTCAAAACAACAGCAATATAGACCGCAACGCTAATAATAATAAAGGGAACGATAAGAGCGGTTACATCAGAATGGAAAACATTCCAGGCTATTTTGAGAGCTTCCCCACTCGCGGACCCTCACCCAAAGTTACCTAAGTATTCTTACGCAGAGGGGAAAGGGTTCATGTTTTTCCAGTTTTCCGAGTCCACGTAGGCGAAGAGACTTAGAAAATTGTATGTGTACAGTTACGATCAGCTAAA